TGTTAACTATTTTGGAACATCCTCCAGCATAGTCTTTGTGCTATCAGATAATGATATAAACATCTCTGAAGTATAAGGTTTGACGTCATAGAGAATATAATTCTTCTTGGGAATTAGTCTTAAAGATTCACATAGCTGGATTCTACTTTTAAGCTGTTAGGTCCACTTCCATGTCTCTAGCAAATATTTCTTGGAGCCCCCCATTTCTACCAGTTCCACTGGAATGTTGGCTTGCAAACCAGAGCTCTGCATCTGTTACCAGATCAGATACAGTCAGGTGGCTTGTTTTAATCAGCAGTGGTGTGATTCAGGTCCTCATCAGCTATGTGCTGAAAATAAACAATAGAAGTTCACTTGGTTGTGACTGTGCTGAAATAGTCTGTATTTGCATTCTGTAGGTTTTGTGAAAGAAAGCTGATTTATTGAACTGTAAAATGGACCTGATAGCGATAGATGAGCGGACCTGGAAGTTCTGCAGAAGTGGAAAACTTAGTTTAGAAGCAGAACAGGTATTTTCTTCCAGGCATGTTTCACAATGTACAGGCTGTTTGAATGGCTTTTAAATACTTTAAATGCTGTGTCTGTTTCCGCATTATAGGATGACCTGCCAGCTCCTTCCAGAACCACACTTAAAGGGGACTAAATGAAAGCTTTGCAGTGAAGTTTTTAGTTTGAACTCCATATATAGATTTAGTAAACCATAATTTCAGAAAGTCTTAAATTACCAAAGTCTGAAGTCTAAACTTGTGGTAACTAGCGAGTTACTTAGTATCTGTCCCTCACAACTTTCTTCAGTGGATCAGAGCTTTAAAAAGCAATTTAGTGCAGTAGAGCAGCTTTGTACTAAAGGGATTTCGCGAGCTGGAGCCTGAGCTTTGTAATACCTTGGTGTAGGTGCCCCTGTATCTCTGTCCTTTACAATTCAACTGCCCGTGCCAGTCTGCAGCGGCTTGCAGAGGAAACAGCACTGTCGCATATGTGCACGGGGTGACACTTCTGTGCCCTGACAGTAACTTTTAAAGCCTCTTATCAGTCTGTGTGTACAGAGTGCTGTGGTCTGTGGCTGGCGGTACTAATTCCTCTCTGCGACTTAAATATTTAGTTTCGAGGTTCTACGTTTTTGGTAGGTTTAATACTTTTCTTAAGACCCTTTGTTTGTACCATATAGCCTTGGTATTTTACACAGGATATATGATAAATAATGAAACCTTAGATGTTTCCACCACTGATATGTAAGAGTTCCCAAAGAATCATCTTGATTCCCTTCACCCCACTCCCTTCCCTTCTCAGTCCAAAAGATGGTGCCATTAAAATGGACTACTAGAAATGACCAGAACCATGGTGTGGAAGTATAAGTGCTGCTGTACTTTCCATCAATTTAACATTATGTAGATGAAGCAGACTTGGAGTGGAAATGGATGTTGCACTCAGCTCTCCTTACTCTAAAAGGCGTTGAAAACCAAGGTAATGGGATAATGCTGCTTGTGTGTGCTTGATTTGAGTTCAGCCAATTATCTGAAGTTGGGAATACAAAGAAAAAATGTAACCAAACACAACCAGAAGTAGATTCCCTTGCTAATAAATAAGTTCTCTGGATTAACAACTTACGCATGGAGCCTTATAGTTTTTTAATAACAACTTTTTTCCAATTTGTAAAGCCGAATTTAAAAAATGGCTTTTAAAAAGTATATTCTGAGTTCCTTAAACTGGACCACGTAGCATGCTGTTCCAAGTACAGGCAGTCCCCACAGAAATTCCTTGATAAAATGTAAAACAGTTACTTCTGAGGTAATTTGTCTCCAAAATGCCTGTTAAACGAATGTCAGCTTCCATTGCATCCTCCAATAGTACCAGATAAAAAAGCTTTAGTTTAGATTGAGGTCTTTGGGCATAACTTTTTGTTCTTTATGTGCTTCCTTTCAGTTTGTTTCTCTAAATCGATTTTTGTTATGATATCAATTAACTATTAAAGACAATTAAAAGTGAACCAGAGTACTGACCTCACAAAACTCCTCCTTACAGTTACATATTAACATTTTTGGCCTCTGCTGTGTTACACACCCTTTTCTGCACTGGTATTTCTTTCTAAGCTGAGGTAACCTGAATGGGTTTCTTGGGTTACCGTGCAATCATTTGGCTGTGTTTTCTGCCGCGGCCATACATGCACGCAGGGTGTGGAGGGGAACGAGGAACCGATTCCCTTTCTGAACTGGTCCTACTTGTATGTATAGCTTGGCTGCCCAGTGCCCCGGCTTCCCTCTGCTGCCTGCGCCTTCCTCTTGGGAATGAGGTGAGAGAGAGCTTTTCAGTAACAAGGAAAATAAAAGCGGCACCGGTGGTTTATCCAGAAGAAGAGGAAGGGACAGAGGGTGTTCGTGTATGCCTGTGGCACAGGGTGCAGGCAAGCAAGAGCACCGCTGCCGGGAGCCCTTGCCAGGGGCTGTGTTGTCTGCAAGCCTCCAGACACTCCTTTTGTGGTGCTGCATCAAGGGCCGTCTGCTCCTTGTAGGATAAGTTTAAAAAGCCTAAGCAGTACGCGCAGATAGGCAATTGCTGCTGCTTAATACTTCTCTGCAGTAACAGTTTGAATGCAAAGGGAGTGTTTCAAGTGACTTGCCTCCTTGCTCTGCCACCAATGCCTGTGATCAGTCAGTGTGATAAACTCTGCTTTCTGAAGAGCAACTTTTGTAATAAGTTTCAAAATGTCTTGCAGAGATCTGTATTTAGTACCTCGTCTTTGCTAATGGGTGAGGGGAGGCAGGGAGGTGAAGTGCTCCGGCGTAGGCTGGCAGCCTGCCCGCTTTGCAGGCTGAGCCTGGGCGCAGCTTACTCCTCTTGCCGTCCCACGGACGTGCCCGGACTGTACCGACTTCGCTGTCTCTCCTGTTCCAGAGTGTATCATTTTGGATGGTGAACCACCCTGAATTTCTGCACAGAAATCCCTGTGCCAGCTCAGGAAAACCAGCAGTAACCCAGACTGGGGTTCTGCCTGGGCAAACACCCCTTGCCTCTCACCCAAGCTAACTTCCAGTCCTGCTATAGGACCTCAGTGCTACAGTCCTCCTATAGCTTCATCCTGCCCTATGGACTTTTCAGTCCAGCTGCAAACTCGGCTTGAATCCTCTCACAGTAGCTCACTGTGCCAACTCATGCTTGTCCGCTCCCTCCCTGTTGCATTTATACAGGAGCAGGGCAGAAGCCATCAAAGTCCCCCAAACTGACGCTAACCCTTCAATAAGGTTGTGGCCAGTGTATTGAAACAACTTGGTTTTTAATGGACAGGAAAGAGGCAGAAAACCACTGGGGTGTGCCATGAATCACATTATGGCTTGCAGGCTAAATTCTGTAATGACCTTCTCATTAAAATACTATTTGAGTTTTCCTTCAGAAATGTCTGCATTAATAATGAGTACTCAGAGCTGATTTACAGGCTGAATTTAATTTTGAATCAAAGTCACTTGAAAGGTGATTTTAATCACAGTTTGAATTGGCAAAATCCTTGATTTAAATAACTGATATTAAATTTCATTATAAGTATACAGATTTTAAGTAACTTTCTTGAAGCAAACTAGATTCCAATTGAATAATAACTATTAAAGCATGTTAGCTTGCAACTAGCTGAAGCTTTTGTCCAAAACATTATCTAGGTGATGTTTTATTTCACTAACTCTTTATTTAGGTAGTTAGTGTAATATATTCCTATATACTCATGCAAATTCTTGACTTTTATTTTAAGAATGGTGAAGAACATATTCTGACTTGATACGTGTTGCACTTACATAGAGGAATTTAAAATCAATTCAAATATACAAGCTGTCTTTAAGACAAACAGAGCTCAAGATGTGCTGGATTGGGAAGAATTCTCAATGCGTGCTTTTGCATTTGAAAGCAGTTTAACTGAACCAAGTCCTTGGAGATTTTTGGAACAGGTGATTTCTCCCACTCAAAGCTTATGTTTACTCAGAGTGGTAGAGGAAAACGCACTTCACAGTCCATCAGTTTCTGATCTTTGTAGCCACTATTGGTTGAACTGAAGTAGTTAAATAGATTGAAGTAAGGAAAAGAATGTTTTTGACAAGGGTATGCTTTTGGCACTTGCAAAGTTTTGATGTATTTGCTTGTGAGTGACTTGTGGCAAGCTTAATAGCTCTACCCATCTGTAGAATATGCAATACATGGTTACTGCCATCAAGCTTTTGGAGGTCTATATGGAGGGCTATAAAATACCAAGTGGCTTAGAATGGAGATTGTTTGCTGTCCTTTCCCATAAAAAATTAGAAGTATCAAGCTTGTGAGAGCCACTTTCAAAGCGAAAGAAGGCAATTATTCATGAAATGAGTAGTAGAACTGGGGAGCTCTCTGCTGCAGACTCCAGAAGATTCTCTGTTGTCTTTATAAGGCTGGGCTGAGCAGTTTAGCTGTTTTTCTACTATTTTAGTTTCTATTATTTTTAAAACTTTGATGAACAATATTTTCCCTGAATCTTCAAATTTGTGTGTACCTAATAAACAAATCTGAAATATGTAATATTTAAGGGTGGTTTTTTTCTTTTTTCTTTTTAAGTTTAAACCCGCCATTAAGAAAAACATCTCTGATTTGGCTGCAGACGAGAAGACCTGGAGAATAAAGTCCTGCAATGTGTTAAACTGTGACATGCCAGGAAATATGGGATATCCTATTGCACATCTCTTGTGCCCGATGTGGACTGGGGCAGGACCGCTGAGGATACAGCTGCGTAGCTCTGTCACAGCTGCACAGCTCCCCTGAGGCCAGGCTAGTTCTGCTGGGAGGACTTAAAATAAAATGAATGTGTGAAATAAACCACTGTCTGGAAGGACCCTGGTGTGACAAGTGCTTTTTATACATAGGCTGGTACAGACAACCAAGTGCTACATCTCTGCTCTGAAGGACTCTGATGCAAACTAGCCTCCAGTTCAGCTACTGCTTTGGTGCAGCTTCCATTTGGACATCTCCAGAGTCTGCCCTGAGACCTCAGCTGGATGCTTTTCTACTCCTTCCTCCCTTATCTCCATACCTCAAGACATCTCTTTCAAAATCATTTGTCATTTGAGCTCTGCTTTGTGACAGTGAGTGTTTGTAGTGTGTTTATTTTGGTAGAGAATTATGGATGTGTGATTTTTTTTTTTTTTTTGGGGGGGGGGGGAGTTTTTCAAAATTTGGGAGGGAGGGGTTTTTTTGGGTAAAATTTTTTTTTAAAAAAATTATTTTTT